TTAGGTTAGGTTTAGGTTTAGGTTTAAGTTAGGTTAGGTTTAGGTTAGGTTTAGGTTAGGTCCAGAACCTAGTGGTTTTTCCACTGGGGAAACAATTTGATTTTTCGTGAGCCTCCACTTATTATTCAAAAATTCACTTTTCGAATAATAAAAGTTATGTGCCTCACAGGAGTGAGGGACATGATCAAAAAAAATCAAACAAATTCCTACCTTTCTTTGACAATAAACAAACAAATACGAATTTGCACAAGGTTTAGGTTAGGTTTAGGTTAGGTTTAGGTTAGGTTTAGGTTTAAGTTAGGTTAGGTTTAGGTTAGGTCCAGAACCTAGTGGTTTTCCCACTGGGGGGGGGGGGGAAACAATTTGATTTTTCGTGGGCCTCCACTTATTATTCAAAAATTCACTTTTCGAATAATAAAAGTTATGTGCCTCACAGGAGTGAGGGACATGATCAAAAAAAATCGAACAAATTCCTACCTTTCTTTGACAATAAACAAACAGATACGAATTTGCACAAGGTTACTTGTATGTTGAACAAGCGAGTTAAATAAATACCCTGGTTGCCTCATGGAATACGATCTGACAAAATGGCTCCTTGGTCGTCTCTTCCTTGGTGGTTTCGTGCATATGTAGCAGCAGACTCTCCAATATAAAAATCTAGTTAAACAATTAAAGCAAAAAGGAATTAATAAACGTTCGACAACTTCAACAATTAGAATTACTTCACAAACGTTTTGTATATAGCAGTGAAACGTTCATGGTTTGAAGATTTTCAATTCTCACTCGCGTTGATATTCCATTCTGTTCAATTTCACACGAGTTGTTTTTTACAACGAAACGGAAGATAATGAACAAAATTGCAGTATCAAGTTGATTATATAATTATGACCAAATATGAACATTAGAAGCTGATCTCGCTGGTGTTGGAAAAACATTAGAAAGTTATAGTTTTTGTAATTACCTGAAACTCGAAGCCATGATGTCGCCGATGTTTGAAAGGCATAGTAACATGAGGGGGATCCCAACGATAGCGTAGAATATGGTGACCACTTTCCCGTTCTTCGTCTTCGGCGCGATGTGGCCGTAGCCTGCGAGTCGAGGAACGCTCGATTAGCTTTGTGTAATTTCCTGCTCGCAGTTGTGCAATGCACAATTGATTCTGTTCTGTTGGCATGGCTCTACTACGCTGATAATTTATTTAATTTCATTGTCACTCTCTTAAATGGAATATGTCAGTTCATACTTAGGATGAGTTATTTCTTTTTTGCTTGAAAATCTCCAAAATTATTATAATATTCTTTCTATTGATATAGGATATTAATATAAACATGTTGATATGTTTAATAATTTCTACTTCACAACGATGGTTTTCAATTCGAAATTGACCTCATTGTGCAAACTTCAGGTTCTCAGCCTTGTTCAAATATTTTTCAAGGCTTCGTACCTGCGATGCTCGAAAGAACACTTGGTCAAGATCTTGCCTCAGCCTCTGCCGATTTCGTAATAACTCTTTCTCTGTATATATATATATATATGTGTGTGTGTGTGTGGATTCATTCCACAGTTCGGGTCAAGGTTACCTTTTTCATCAATTATGTTTCGCTATTACTACATTTTCTACATTGTACAACACATGAGAATCGTTTAATTCGAATTTCGTTAAATGTTCGTCAAGGATTCAAGTTTCGACTTCAAACAGATTGTTCGCCAAATAGAGGAAAAAAGAAAGAAACATAATTTTTCGAAAATTAAAATTAACATTACACTGAACATTTTGTTCAAGAATTTTCTATGCGTAAATGCATTCGGACGTGTGTATATATAGGGTGGGCAAAAAACCACTTCCTACTAAAATAATTCCGTAATTTTTCTCGAAACAAAACTTCTCGAAGGGAATAATTTTTAGAGCACAATGAACAAAACCACGTTTGAATTTAAATTTAATCAATCGAATTAGTTTTTTTCCTTATGTTTATGATGTTTCGTTAAAAAAAAAAAAGTAGGTGGGAAGAAATGCTTTTGGCACACTCTATATATAAGACATTTTTCCTTGTTCTCACAGGCTGCATATACACACGGTTCTAAAGTTTGATTCTAATTTTTTGAAGCATCCTATGTATAAGTATATTGTAATTTATAAATTTATATAACCTATATATCTAAGGGAAAGTTTTCTTTATTAAGAACAGATTTTCATCCCCGATTCCGTTCTCGTTTTCTTCTTGTTCTTTTTAATTGCTCTAATTAACAGTCGAGAAAGAACTGGAGTAGGAAGATGGAGAAGATTGAGCGCATCCGCCGGAAGGGGACGAGGATCGATCGATCGGGCACAAAAGCAGAGCGGATGTTCCAGCTGGATTTCGGAACGCAACTCGGTCACGCGTTACAAGCCTTTGTTTGTTGGTCGATTTTTCCCCGGCGCATGTAACCAGATTCCTCGCAGTAGAGATCGAAATTTCCCGACGATGTGACGTCATTCTCCCCCCCCCCCCAGTCATTGTGATCCTGCCGCCATATTTAACACTGGAACTACTAAACCGACGAACTAAAAACCGTGAAATCTCCATGAGAGACGTTAAAGCGGTGGTTTAAAACGTGCGGCTCATTTTCTTCTTTAAATGAAAATTTAACTTTCTAATTTTCTTCTTTCTTTCTATTTCGAAGCTTGTTCAGACCAAGTTAATAGCCTTTTAGACTTCCTCCACAAAGTCAAATATTCACTTCTTGAATTATGTGCCACAGGGACCAAGCATCAGGATTTTAGAGATGCTTATGTAGGGCATAGATTTAGGTTAGGTTAGGGACACGGGTAAAAAAAGGTTGGGAACCACTGCATTGAAATGAAAGAAATAATACAATAGGCTGCTCGAGCTTTTATTTATGCATTTTACGAAGAATCATTCGAGTCTCCAAAAATACATTGTTCTATATCTGTATAAAATATTCAAATGGCCATTTTGACTACTTTGCTAATCCCATTATTATGCGTTAATCATTATCCTATCTATCTGTTTCGTACATCGTCTATAATTAGTGAATTTTTTTTTTCTCTTTTAATTTTATGTTCTAAAACGAAATTAAATTTCTCGTTTGCTTTTCGTTCGAAGGAAAAAAAAAAATTTCCTCCGAGAGGGGATTCTGCTTTTTTTTTTTTTTTTTTTTATCACGCCGTCACAAAGAATTCTCCCGGTGGACTTAACAAATTTAGCGATCCACTTTCGTCGTGGAACCGTGAAACGGTTAATCGACGGGATCGTTGGCCGACAACGCGGCGTAAAAAATCAAGGAAAACGGATTACCAAGCGCCGCCGCCGGCTTCCTGTGTCCCGGGAGGAAAAGTGAATTTCCTCGGTGGTCGGGACCGCGTTCCCCCTGAAAATGACCTTGATCATTGGATTTTCGCTCGATCGTGCCTTTTTCCTTCTCTCGAAACAAGGTTATACTCGGCCGCGAGAAACGACGCGACGCTTCCAACTGGCCGGCCATTTTTCTTTCGCCTAGAATTAAGAACGTTTAACCTTCTTTAATTCTATAATGCCATAGTTGTTTCAACTGTCTAAAAAGTCGCGCAAGTTTCATTCGAAATGTGAGAATTTCAGACTTCTTTTTTTTTTCGTTTATTATGAGTTTCTTTTTTTTTTTTTTTTTTAAGTCTGATAGTGGAGAAGAATTGAAAATTAGCTATGAACACCTAATCAAGAAGGTCTGCAATGGATGCCAAAAATCTGAAACAGCTCAACACACCTTGGTTT